ATATAGCCGACTTGCAAGATGCGGGCTAGTAGATCTAATATCTCTCCTCGTCCCTTGCCTCGCTGACCTGTGCGTGGCGCTCCCGGTACTGCACAGAACACGCAGTCATTTGCATGCAGGTACACCCGAAGCCTGACAAGCATGCCGGCGACTGCGGGAGACAGACGACGGACGACGGCAAACGGCTTCGGTGTTCCCAATACATGCAACATCCGCCGTAAGTTTGGGGTGGCGGTATGGAGGGATGGCTTGGTAGGGCAAATGTGGCAGCCACGCAAGGCCCGGTATGGTTAAGGCTGAAGTGAGACCTGGTCGGACGTGGAAGTTCGAACGAATCTTTCGTGGCCCCGAGGACGAGGGTGAAGGGCAAGGAAGAGAGTTACGGGGTGGGCGAGCGGGCGGGCTTCAGCCTCCCAAGGGCAGCAATCAAGAGGCCGGCGCCCACGATCCGTCATCTCGAAAGCGCCTCTCGGCATGCAGCTTCCTGTTTCTTTAGGGAGGGCGGCAAAGAGCACCTTCCACCCCAGATTCCCACAACAGATTGACGATTCGGTTCAAGTCGCGACGGCTTCGAACCGTGCAGGCGAGTGGGACAACGACAAAGATTTTGCTTGCCATTAGTCGTCGTCAGGGAGACCAACAACAGGGTCAGATTCGACTCGCGACGTATGGGCCAAAGTTGTGATCAACTCGAGGGCAGGTCTTGAGGAGGAAACGGATGGAGGTACAGTTAACAAGATAGGTACCTCGCCAAAGGACCGGCCGTGGCTCGAAGGTCGGTCGAGCCCGAGATCCATGAAGGCATACGCAATACTACGAGGAGCCGACGGCGGAGTCGTCTTTCGCACCCACGCCGTCGAGGTCTCTAATTACCTATCTAGCACAGCATCGCAGGTCTGGGGTTGTTTGCAGCTGAGGACGCTGTCCGCGGGTTTACGGGGAGCAACTTCATAGATAGTGATGGGTTAAAGGTGTCGCTGCAGGTTACGGGAGCCGGTGGGGTGTGTAGTGTGTTCCTTTTTTTTCCGATTCTCTCCTTCTAGCGTATTTCGAACTTGACGATTGCTGGTTAGTGCCTACATCATGCCATTTACGTTAAGCGGCCAACGGGGGCATAGCACGGTGCCTATGGGAAGACCGGCCAATTGGTCTGGAAGAGGCTGCCCCGTCACGGGGCAGGGGGGCATGCTCTTAGATATCGCGATATCAATGATATTCTGTGATTTCGGCCTTGGCGAGACATCTAGCCGAGAACCATCTTAGCTGCATCTGTATAGTCTGTATAGTCAAGGCCTGGACTGTGAGACTGAGGCGAAGCTCCGGGAGGGAGGGGCCTTGGACAGCGGGGGTGGGATGGCGGCTCCGTTCGCTTCCCCCTCTTGGAGAAGCTGCCCACCCAGTTAGTTGTCTTCATCAACAGCAGGTGCCGAGTGCTCACAAGGCTACCACCACCGGTAAGAAACTCGCATCGAGGCGCAAGGGATCAGCCTATTTACTATGCATGCTTGGCTGTCCACACGCTACCTTTCTGCTCTTACTGCATTATCTGGCACTGGGGCCCAAGTAATTGTATATGCCTTAGGTAGTTTGGAGTTCTAACCTTGGGTATCTGTTACATCCACGGCAGAACTGTCATTCCCGCACCAGCTACGAATGAATGTATCTGTATCATCCAGACAGGCTGAGTGACTTAATTGAAGAGGTGGTGAAATGCCAAGGAACAGAACGTGGGTGAACGGGCAGAGCTTGATTTGCGGCCCCTATCCAAGATTGGCAGCACTAACATTAGTCCCATCAGAGCCCCTGAGAGAGGGTGGCGTACCTCTCCCTCCAAGCAAGCATACACCTCTCAACACCGGCACCGGTGACTGGACAATAACGTCAAGTGGACACCCTGTACCCGATACATGCGGGCTGCGCTTTGGCCAAGGTGCTAACACCTACTGGCGGGTACCCGGCTCCACCCTACCAAGTATTCGTGACTGTATGGCCTGCCACATCCTGGATTGGGAGGGCTTGATCGCGTCAACGTGAACCTCAATTTCCAGAACAAGAGCGCAGGAACAAGGAGACAGAGGGTAGGGGAACCCGTAAGAGAAGGGGGTGGACGAAAGAAGGGTAAGGGGGAAACGCCAGAAGATTCCTGGTTTTTATTCATTCAATTTTTTATCCCCTCTGCTAATTACTGGGACCATATCTTTTCTGCACTACAACGTCGCCTAGGCCCGCACCCCCTTCCTACTTTTTTTTTCCCTCTTCTTTTCCCCTTCTCACACCCCAACACCTCAGTCCTCTGCCCTCTTCAAACCTCTATTAAACTCTTTCCCGCAGAGTCGCGGACGTCGTCGCCCATCCCCTCGGCTCTCCTCTTCATTTTTGCATTCTCCTTCACGACGAGTTACAAACCCCCATAAGCCGTGCGCAGCCCCTACCCAAGGTTTGAACCGGCTCAACCAGAGGTGTCTGTTAGCATTTTACCCCTGGGACCCCCGATTTGCATATTGTTAAAGTACCTGTCGCCTACCCCACGACACCTTTAACGAGTGCTTGGCCGTCCCGTCCGCTCGCTCGCTCTCTTTTTGCCCGTTCCGTCTTTTTTCCCCCGTCGTCACTGAGAGCTGTCCACCAACTTGCTCCTACATCATCACCAACCCCCCGCTGCCACCTAAGCAATTCAATCTCCCGGCACCTCACCCCTCTCACCCCTTCTCCTTCCATCACATACAATCACAATGGGTGCCGACGAGAAGACGCGTGTCTCGGGCGAGGTCCCCCGCGGCGAGAACGGTTCTATCCTGCCCACCACGAACCCGGATGCCGAGAAGAGCCAGCCTGCCAAGTCTCAGATTCATCCTGCGCTCTACGTCATGTAAGAACTATTTCGACTCCGTCTCTGCGACTTCTGCTAATGCCTCTCAGTGTCTGGATCTCCTTGTCCTCCTCGGTCATTCTGTTCAACAAATGGATCCTCGACACCCTCAACTTCCGTAAGCCGATCGAACGATGCGAGTCGGAATACGATGCTAATTGACTAAAGGCTACCCGGTCATCTTGACGACCTACCACTTGACCTTTGCCACCATCATGACCCAGATCCTCGCCCGCTGGACCCACGTTCTCGACGGACGCAAGTCGGTCAAAATGACTGGCCGCGTGTACGTACGGGCCATTGTTCCTATCGGCATTTTCTTCAGCTTGAGTTTGATCTGCGGCAACCTGACCTATCTGTACCTGTCCGTTGCCTTCATCCAGATGCTCAAGGTAGGAATCGCTAGTCTCCGTTGCTCAAACAATATAACTAACCGCACCAGGCCACCACCCCGGTCGCTGTTCTCCTGTCAGGGTGGGCTCTGGGCGTCTCCCAGCCCAACCTCAAGGTCTTCCTGAACGTCTCTGTCATCGTTGTCGGTGTCATCATTGCGTCGATTGGCGAAATCAAGTTCGTCTGGATCGGTGTCATCTACCAGATTGGCGGTGTCATTTTTGAGGCCCTGCGTCTCACCATGGTCCAGCGCCTGCTCAGCTCTGCCGACTACAAGATGGACCCCCTCGTCTCAGTCTACTACTTCGCCCCCATTTGCGCTGTCATGAATCTGGCTGTCGCTTTGATCTGGGAAATCCCCAAGGTCACCATGGATCAGGTGTACAACGTCGGCTTGTTCACATTCTTCCTAAACGGCCTCTGCGCCTTCCTACTGAACGTTTCCGTTGTCTTCCTGGTTCGTTTTCGTCTTTCCGGCATCGGCCGAACAGCGCTAACCGATTATGTAGATTGGCAAGACCTCTTCGCTTGTCCTGACTCTTTGCGGTGTCCTCAAGGACGTCATGTTGGTCGTCGCCTCCATGATGATTTGGGGCACCCAGGTGTCTGGTCTTCAGTTCTTTGGCTACAGCATCGCCCTCGGTGGTATGATCTACTACAAGCTCGGCTTCGAGCAGATCAAGGGCTACATGGGTGAGGCTGGCCGCCAATGGGCTGAGTTTGGCCAGCGCAAGCCCATCCTCCGTAAACTCAGCATCATCGTGCTCTCGGCGTTCGTCCTCTTTGCCATGCTTGGTGGTCTGGCGCCGACGTACGCTCCCGAGTATGACCCTCACAACCTCATCAATGAGGTCAACAGCCGCTTTGGCAGCAGCAGGGCATAGGTTACAGGATAGACGGGCGACGTCCCCCCCTTTTTTCCCTCGACCTGTCGTTTCCCACTTGTAAGCGTAGAGATGTGATGATACCAACTCTCTCCGCAACGATTACCTTGTTCTGAGTACATATTACGAGCTTCATTTCGAACTGTGTGCCGATTGACCCTGTTCTTTTTTTTTTTTTTTCCATCTTATTCCGGAAACTGAAGCCATTTCATTTTGGGCGGGTGAGTTACCCATGTACAGCTATAGAGCAACGGCGCAGAGCGCAAAAGGGTACAGGTTGCATGGCTTGCATCATGAAATTCTAATTCGATGTACTCTAGATGGTGGGAGGATATAGACATGTATGTATGCAATGATATAAATTGAGCAAATGTGTTGACTACGTAGCATGAACGTTTTGCGTTTATCATGGGTAGAGATGCTGTGGAGCTAATGTCCGAATGTTTTCCTGAAACGGATCTAGCTGCCTAAGTATGCAATCCACATTGCTTGAAGCAGCAGTTTACGCCCTAACCGATTCTACATAGATTTTGAATCCTTTCGGAGGAGCATTAGATTTCGTATGTAAGCACTTTGGTGAGTCGGCAGAGATGTTACTCAATGCATGCATGGTAATAACGTTAAGGAAGAGGGGGTGCGATGCGCTGGCAGTTCAAGCACGGCTTGAAATCAAAGGTTGTGCAGACTATGGTCAATCGTTTTAAAGGTGCATTTCAACCCCGAACGCGTGAAATAGAATGTTGACGGATTGGATGCCGTCCAATTGCACTGCCCTCTCGGCAAGGAGACACGGACACACAAGCATCAAGCACAAAAGGCATTGGTTGGGAAGTTGGCTTTTTGACTTGCTTATTTCATGTTCCATTGATCATGGCCATCCCACGGCCGAGGGCTGAATCATACCCATCAGTCATCATAGACCCTTGACCCTTTTTTTACTTTTCTCTATCACTCTCGTTCTCCAGCATCACAGCAGCAGCAGCATCGGCGGCGGCAATGACCATTGTCGAGGTATCACAGGGCGCAAACGACTTGGATTTTTCAATGGTGTCTCATTGGGAGTCCTTAAACCGAGGACCTCGAATGCCAATTGATGCTCTGTACAAGCCAGCCCAACTCCCCGACCTGTTGACGATTGCAGAAACGGTTTCCCTTTAAAATCCTGCCACCGGTTAGTAGTCTGTCTGGCTTTATAGTGGCAGAGTGACATACTCAAAGGCGTGAAGAACCACCGGTTCTTACCGCTCGTGTAACGCTCCTCCAGAACCTTCTTCACCGTCTTCTTGGCGTCCTCACGCTGGGTGACCTCCTTGAAGGTGTCGTTGCTGACGACGCCCTTGAGACCCTCGAGCTCCAAAGTGTAGCGGGTGGGCATCAGATGATTGTAGTTGACCAGCTTGACAAAGGGCTTAATCTTGTTGCGCTTCTCCTGTCTCGTCTTCGACATGCGACGAGTGATTTTGGAGGGGTAGCGCTCGATGCCGGCGACGAGGGCATGGCCGAAGGGGTGGGCCTTGTTACCGGAGTCAACGGGCTGGATGATGACGACCTGAGGGGGGACGTTAGCATGGATGGTTCATAGGCCCAAATGTACACGTCCGCATCCATCGTGTTTTCTTCTCTCAGAGGGCTCGTGGATATCTCAACGTCGCGCTTCGGCTGTGTTTGGTCGGTCGGTCATTCTTCCTCCTCTTCCTTTTCCGCCATGTGTATCGAGGTCGTCCCGCCGACCACCTCTATGTTGATTCCCTGACCGAAAAAAACACGTTTCTCGGCATCGACGTTGAGGATGTTCCCCGCCCCTCCTCGGAGGAAACTGTTGGGCGCGCGGGTGGGCTTCTCGGGGTTCTCGTGGCATTCGTACCTTCTTGCCGGCGTAGCGGCCGTGGGTGATGATGGCGACGCGGCCGACCTTGAGGAACTTCATTTTGACCTGCGCTGTCGGGAGGGATGCTGGGCGTGCTGATGATGAAGTTGCGTCGAAAAAGTCCGCTATAGGAATTTTCTAGTTTGTGTGGGAGGGAGGGCTGAAGTTTTCTGGAAAGCGCGAGGTGTGCGGTCACGTTTTTTGTGGGTAGGTGACCAACCCCACTGTCCACTTAGGCCCCTTGGTTGGTCGCTTCACATATTCGGGGGGCCAAGGAGTCTGCACGCCCTTTCGGTAGGCTGAAGCCCATAGCTCTGCCGGTCGTCCACATATGGTTCCACAGGTCTAGTCGGCCTTTGTCGCCTTTTACCCCGGTTTCTATCGACGACAACGTGAACGCGTACGCAAATCCGTCTAACCGACTCTTTTAATCGACAATACTACCGCACATCATGGCTGCTCCTCCCGCCTACATCATTTCCAAGGTCGCCGACCCTATCTTCGCCTTAGTGATTGGGCTCGGCGCTGCTGCCACAAGGATTAACCGTGAGGAGAAGGAGAAAGGCAAGACCACGCAGCAGACCATTGCGGCGGCGAAGAGGTACGGTTGACCGCCGGGTCGCACCCATGATGAATATCTCTGTTGATTTCCGTCTGTCTAGACGTCTTGGCTTGGTCAAGGCTACTGCATAAGTGCATTACGCAACCGCCGTCGATGGGGGCACATTCGCGACGCGCGATCACAAGATAATTGCAGGCCACCATATACAATATCTACATCACTCCGCATACGACGGCCCGTACTCCTTCTTCATTGCCTCTCGAACCATCTGCCCGCACAACTTCGCCGTCGGATTCGTGCTCACCGCCAGCCCCTTGGCGATCTCGTTACCAAACCTCCCGCCACAGGCAAAGTCGTGCGAGGCCGCCTCCTCGAACTCGATCTTGGTCCATGTCGCCTCACGTCGGGCTTCGTCAATCTGCACCGCGTGCTTGTCCATCAGCTTGGCCGTCGTGTGGTAGATGGCGGCCCGCTGGGTGTATGCGAGAGAAAGTGTCTTGGCGGCCTGCGGCGACATGGCACCAAACATGGTGTGTGGCGTAAGGAGGGCAATTGACTTTTCGGTATCTTCTAGCGCAATCTTCGCATACTGTGTTGATTCGGCTAGCTCGGAGTTTTCGATGAGTCGTTGAGACGCAGTCGGCGATCCTGCCAACAGCATCGTGTCACCATATAGGCGTCTCAAGGCCTGCACGCGGTTGTTTCTCGCACTGGCGTAGTTTGGGTAATCGTCGATGAAGCTGTCGAGCTGCGAAAGGAGGTTCTTATACTCCTGCACAGGATCGGTCACAGTTTTGGGTCTCAATCCCACCAACTGGAGTTCGAGCTGCAGCATGGACAGAACAATTTCGCGTTCCTTCTGGATGACACGTTCATAGATATACGTGTCGGTGATGTTAGGGTCGCGGGGCAGGGACGGGTCGAGCATGACGTTGGCCGAAGGATCGTATTCAGGGTCCTTAATCTTTTCGAGTACATTGACATCGCGTTTGGTCAGGCCTGTGGAAGCCATATTGCAGTATTGCTTGAAGAATCGACGCTTTGGAAAGAATGCTAATATCTCTGGTAATAGACTCGACTTGAACCTGCTTCGATGTGTGACAATCGAATGTTCGCACGTTTATCCGAGGACTGGAGCTGATCAATACAATAAAAAAGCAGTGCCAGGTCCCCTCGCAGGCAACGACTCATCTAATGCAATACTATTTGAACGGACGCAGATGGGGGAGCCGAGCTGCGCTTTACATTCCGCACTCAATGGCTATAAAGGGGTTTCATGGTGTCGGAGCGGCGATAAGGCACGCGGTGATGGAGGGTACCCACTCATGGGTCTATCCTAGACGTACTATGTATATATTACATACCCCGAAACCAACGGAATCAGCGGCTAGGCCACCGCCAGTGCCCTCGGGCTCTTTGCATGCGAGGTTAGGCGAGGGAGGCTGCTGCGCTGGGTGGCGGGCATAGCCTGGAGGATCCGAAGCATGTGTGGGGGGGAACCGTCAAAGCCGTGCCGCATCTAGACCGGCCAGTGACGGCTTATCACGGCTCACCACGGCCATCGATCCTCGGCCGGCGGCTTTCCGCTTGCGAACGCATTTCCATACGACACCAGCTTTACGCTTTACCGCTGCCAACCTCTCCTTTCCCGGGTATTCCTGCCAGGGATCGAAAAGCGCTCCAGGATTGGCCACCCGCTGAGGGCAGAGGCAACCCCGCCCGGCCTTATGGCCAGTGACAAGCGTCTGATGCGGCGACTGGGACCGTCAATGTGTGGGCGTGAGACGAAGATTACCGTTGTCCTTGTGGAAGTCCATCGTTGACCAAGGTTCATCTGTGGTGTACTGTGTTGGTGTCCAAGTACTTATATCCTGGACAGTACGCAGTACATAACACGGATGGTTCCCTCCTTGGTCGTTGATCTCTTTATCACGATCATCACCCAACCCTGATCCAGACAACTCAACTCATCCAAAGCCCAAGAGACTTATCCCTGCTATCCCCCGAAAACTGCTGAGTGTCAATGTCCCCTTCTGCCATTACAGACTCCCTGCCACAAAACGCCGCGTACCCGGCATCAACAGATCTCGGTGATGGGCTCGCGGTGCAGCACCCGCCGCCCAACTTCCAGGGCTATGACCACGTAACTTGGTGGGTGGGCAACGCTAAGCAGGCCGCCGCCTACTACACCACCCTATTCGGCTTCCAAACCATCGCGTACAAGGGCCTCGAGACGGGCAGCAGGTACCTCGCCTCGTACGTCGTCGCCAACAAGGGCGTGCGCTTCGTCTTCACCTCCCCCGTGCGCTCCCTTGCCCACCTGCCCGAGGATGAGCCCATCTCTGACGCGGAGCGAGAGCTCCTGCGCGAGATTCACGCCCACCTCGAGAAGCACGGCGACGCCGTCAAGGACGTCGCCTTCGAGGTCGACAATGTCGAGGCTGTCTACGCTAAGGCTGTTCAGGAGGGCGCTGTCGCCGTCCAGCCGCCCAGCGTCTCCAAAGACAAGGAGTACGGCGATGTCTTGACGGCCGTCATCCGCACTTACGGCGACACTACTCACACTCTCATTAGCCGCGGCAGCTACCGTGGGCCCTTCCTTCCGGGCTTCCGCGCCGCCAAGCCCGCAACAGCCACCGTCTCCCTCCCTGACGTGCCCTTGGCCCGCATCGACCATTGCGTCGGCAACCAGTCATGGAACGAGATGGTGGCCGCTTGCGCCTTTTACGAGAAATGCCTATCGTTTCACCGCTTCTGGTCTGTAGACGATTCGCAGATCTGCACAGAGTTCTCGGCCCTCAACTCCATAGTCATGGCGTCGTCCAACAACCTTGTCAAGATGCCCATCAACGAGCCCGCCCCGGGCAAGAAGAAGTCCCAGATCGAGGAGTACGTCGTCTTCAACTCGGGCGCTGGGGTCCAGCATATTGCTCTGCTGACGCACGACATTATTGCCACCGTCTCGGCCATGCGCGCCCGCGGCGTCGAGTTTATTGCCGTTCCCTCGACCTACTACGACACCATGCGCCATCGTCTCAAGACGGAGAAGCGGAACTGGGAGCTCAAAGAGGACCTCGCCACCATCGAGGCTCTCAACATTCTCATAGACTACGACGAGCAAGGCTATCTGCTACAGCTCTTCACTAAGCCGTTGATGGACCGTCCAACTGTGTTCATCGAAATCATTCAGCGGAACCACTTTGAGGGATTCGGGGCTGGCAACTTCAAGAGCCTGTTCGAGGCCATTGAGCGGGAGCAGGCCGAGCGGGGTAACTTGTAAGCCTGCGAGGAAGACATTTCTCGAGGCATGACGACCATATTTGTCAATCCATGGTACGACCCGGTGGAACACCCTGCTGGATCAGCAAAGGGGTTGTATGGCATTGATGAAAATATGTAGTAACAATAGGTATATTCAAACATGGCCCTAATTCAGGCCCCCTTGCGCCAATGCACTATTTTCTTGTCCCGTCCTGCCCTCACAATGCTGCCTCGCTGTTTCAATCGTGCACCAGTAGTAGCCTTAAATTCACCTTCCTCGCCAATAATATGGCGATCTCTTGTTCTCTAGGCTGCCTTCAGAGATGTGGCCGTCGCCTCTCAGCGCTCTTGAATCTAGTTGGTCATGAGTCCACCACCATTGCCGTCCCGTTCGTCTGGTGGGCGTGTGACCCATTTGTCTCCGTTACCACCTCCATCGGCGCTCCGCGTGTGTCACTCTGACACCCCGGGCAATTATGGATGACTTCGTGCGCGTAGACGTCGCAGTCGATGCAGAAGTAGTTGCCGCATACCGTACAGGAGTACCGCCCGCTCTCGCTAACGCCCTTGAGCTCCGATGCGGTCACCGGCGTCGGCGCTACGGGAGCTGTTGTGTGAAACCCATCCTTTTCCTTTTCTTTATCTTTGTACTTTCTTCTACCCGTCTTGGGTGGTTCGGGGAACGTTGTCAGACATGAATAGCAGGCTTTCGACTTGGCGGCCTCGGCCCAAGACACCTCAATCCAATTCCTCAGCGGGAAGAGGTGGTGGTATGAGCGGGCAAGATGCGTTGATAGGATGAGGGTCAGGCTGCAGGCGGGACACTCGATGGGTAGGCGACACACGCGGGTGCCGCAGCGGGTGCAAAGGTAGCCCTCGCGGGCGGGCTTATTATGGCAGGCGCAGACAGCGGTGGCCTCGCCCTGCGCAAGAGTGCGCGAGGGGAAACCCATCATGAGCAGCGAGGCGGTGCTCTGGGCGAGGGTCCGTGTGACGGGCGGCGTCGTCGCGGCGAGGAGGAGATCGCGGAAGTGCGCGTCATTCATGCACACGCTGTACTGCGTTTCGTCGCCGGCATTTGTGCGAGAGCATAGCTCCGCGCAGATAGCGACCTGCGCCGCGAGGCCGACGATGGACACGCGGATGCGGTCGGTAATAAGGGATGATATTGTGTCGTGAATGTCGCCCGGGTCGGAGGACAAGAGAGCACCAAACACAATAAGCACTTCGCGCGTGCCGTGGGAGGGTGCGTGGCTGGAAGAGCTTAGTATGGCACAGTCTGACGGTCAGATGGGTGGGGGGCTCGTACAACAGCGCGCCGCGGCACATCTCAAGCGCATTCTGCAGACTCGGGTTGCCTGATGGATCCTGACCCTCAAATGTCTTGAGCTTCTCCAGGTGATCGGTCGGGTTGCCGCTCATATCACTGATCCGAATCGCGACACCGTCCCGCATGCCGATGATGCCTAGCTGCGAGATGGGGTTCTGCTCGAAGTATTCCTTGACAAAGTCCGCCGCGTACGCCCATGCGACACGGTACCGGTTCGGCAGCATGTCCTTCTCTGCCATGGCGAAGGACATGTCCAACACCAGGACCAAGTGTCTGATGATGCCGCGCTGCAGCGGTGTTGTGTCTCGGAGCAGCCTCCGCCTCTTCTCGGCCTCGAGGCTCGCGCCAACCGCCAAACTGCCATCCGCGCCTTCTGTAACTTCTTCCCAGCTTCGCTTCACATCCTCCCATCGTGCCTTGGTGTGACCGCCCTTTCCCTTCTTTCCGCGGCCCTTCCCGCCGTCTGCGCCCTTACCGTTGGTCACATGGAGGTCGTCATCAGACATGTCATGGTACTCGCCGTCGGAGTCGGCCATGGTTGGTGACGTCGGTGGGCCAATCGGTCTCGTGAGGGAGTATGTTCGCCTTTTGCGGTCGGCTTTCTTTTGGAGATGTTACAGCGATTTTGAAGCCCTGTTGAAAGGTTTGTTCTGGTAGGCGGGCGTTGCGCAGAATGGTCGGGCGCTCAGTGAGGTAGTGAGGGAAGTGATGTAGGAGGACAAGGCTACAAATAAAAGATCGCAGCCTCGCACTGTTAGTTGGCGTGGGATCTTTTTTGGTAGCCAATCAGAGTTCACACAGCACAACCCCTGCCAAGTAAGCTTCACATGCTCCATTGAGCAGTCATTGACGTCAACTCGATTGTATTCAGGATTGTCTCCGGTAGGTCTGGCCGCAGGTACCTAAGGAGGGATTGTACAGCAGAGGTACGGAGCTCCCAGGGCCACACAGCAACTCAGTTCAGGCCGGAGCCGGAATACCAGAAGTGGGGCCCTTTCCGTGCAAATAACGGGCCAAAGACAACGTCCGTTACATCCAATGGGGCCGTAGCAGCCCATTCATAGCAGTGCCATTGCAGATCAATCATTGTCGCTGCTGACTTCGAGTACAGCCTTAGTTGCAGTCGGGATACTTACCGGGACACCAAGGTCTTCGGGCATAACCAAGCTAGCTAAGCTTGAGGAAACAAAACCCATTAGCTTTAATGACGTTTCTGTGAGGATGTCCTTTAGTCAGATAAGGCGGATACTCTCTGAGACGTGTGCGTCAGTGGAGTGGGCTCTCTCTCTCTCCCCTGAGTAGTTGAACATCTATGCCAGCGATGCGGCGTCTTCCGGTCTCTCTGAAAGACCGAGTCGAGTAAACATCAAGAACTCACTCTAGATCCCATCTGTAACTCAGCCGCCTATTCGACTCCTCGTTCATTTTCCCAGATATGTTTCTTGTCTAGTATGCGCTTGGGGGATCTATTCCGCATCCTGTCGCATATCTTTCATGAGAAATAAATTATTGACGATTGCAAGTTGGGTGAGCAACACAGTTCAAGTTCCACATGTTCGAGTTTGTTTTTGGGTTCCTATCTGTGTTTCGCATCCTCCCTCACTTCGACTCTGTTGTTACCTCTCACTGGAGAATGATGCGCGTCCGAAGCTGCTTCTTTCCATGGTACCCAGATTGGTCAGGTATCATGCTTCTTCTGGTGTTTTAGGACGACATTGTCGCAGCAATCAGCACAGCGCACGCAGTTGTAGTGATATCAATTGCAGAACTAAGCGAGGAAAATACCAAAATCCAATCCTATAAGCACCCATGTGCTATTTCCATACCCGCTTGAGACGTTCTGCCCTGTTCCATTGGGCACAGCTATTGTTTCTATCATATCGCGACTCAGGTGTAAAATACTGGTTATCCATAATGCCGAGGCTATTGATATGCCACTTTAAAGACAGCAAACTGTTGTTCGGGGCCTATACAGATTGGCACAGCTTATAACAGAACCAGGTAAATCTTCGATCAGTACAAGCTTTGTTGTGAGCAGAACCGTGGGCCCCTGCAGGACTCGTTACAACTTCGTTTATTTTAAACCCAGAAAGCATATATCACATGCGTCCTTCCCGAAAGGCTTAGCAATATGCCAAAGCGAGGAATAGTAGCTTATCGTAAGAGTTAGACATTCCTGCTGTTGCTTGCTATATTTTATGACTCGGCAGCATATCCATGTTGACATGTTTCATGCCATTAGATGGGCTGGCATATATTCCGTCGCAGCTAGAAAACGTAGCCATGATAAAAGAATATGTCTATGTAACTGTAGGACTCGTCGACACCAATTCCACAACCACCAACCTGGCCCTGGGAAACACCGAATGTCACAATGTTTCCCACTGACTCTTCACTGGGAGCATCTTCGAACTACGGATATAGAATCCACTGTTTGAATGCGTTCGGCCCAGTGATACAGCTCTGGTTGGTACTGGGACGACGTGTAGAAATGGCCAGGCCAACCTCATGCGGAACGGGGTTGATGTAACATTTCCATATGCCAGAAAAACCCTAGCGGCACCATGATAGCCACAGTTTGTATCAGCTGAGACATAGTAAGGTTTTAGTGGCCGCCTGGAGTTGCAGTTACTGTGAGATTGTAGGATATGACGATCCGTAGATATCTGCGTCCTGTCTGTATGATAATCTCATGCAACGGGGTAAGATCTGATTGTCATAGAAGAGGCAGAATACCACAAATCCCCTTCATTTATTGAGTAGTTGAGTCTACATCCCACACGAGGCAGCTGAAATAGGGCACGGATCTAATACACAAACCGTGATCGCAGTCTTGCTGCCAAATCCTATGATATCACAATATAGTCAATATTGCAACTGCTCTCTTTCACATACGACCATACCCACTGGAAAACTCGGGATCCCGTCCGCTCTCCCATAGATAAGCCAATGAGGGCCGGATTAGTAGTTGGGTCGGTGACGACCAGCGAATACCTGGTGTTGTATGTTTTTTGCCCTCTTGTGGTTCAAATACATACATCTAGCAAGTAGTTCGTGTCGGTGTTAGCAAACAACTAGATCCTATTATATCTAGGCCACAATAAGCTTCTATTGACATCGACATGCACCATCATGCTGTGTTCCCATCATGAAGAGACGGTAGCTGATGCAATCGGAGTAGACAGACCCCGGAGCCTGCCAGCCACTTCGAGGAACTGAGCGGCTCCGTCTGAATTCACATACAGATTGCATATTGCCACGACTATGGCCTTGTCTGAAGTGCACCAATGCTATGTCCACTACTTTGTAGCCAGAGATAGACCCACCCCATGAACTTTCAACACTCCCAGGCTGTACATGAATACGTCACGTTGCCAGGGACAGCGTTTAGACAAAACACGCTTCCGCCTCTTGAATATGAAGGGTGACAGACAGCCGGAGTTGTAAGTGTATGTGCGAGATGGGGTGACCAGCGGACAGCAGTTGAGACTTGAACATAAGCTTTATCGGAAGGATCGAAACCTGAATCCTAGACGTGCGGGACAGTCTTTAGCGAATGCAAATGAACCCTCATTTATCAAGATCGACGATGACCCTCTGGTTTAGAGAAGGGGCCGCACGCTCCAGGGCTGCCAACACCCTGTACACGGCCGCCGTTTTTATTTAAGCAGAAATTTCAGTACTCGCGGCGATTGGTTAAGAAGTCTTTCACCACTCCCGTCAAACCAAACTCTAGTGAAGTTTCGAAGGCTTCCGGGCGAATATGCCCGGCATGGTAAGCATGCCGTGCCTCGGTAGGCCGCTTAAGCAGCCGCACTAGGGTTTAGCTATATAGGGAACAGTGATTCTAGCCACAAAAG